TATATATATATATATATATATATATATACGTAAGCTGCTATCATATCAGTATTCTTAGACATTCTAAGCATTAAATGTTGATTTTTTTTCACCAGATATAAGTTCTAAAGAAAATACATATACGATCTCTATTTGTAGGCTAACAATGGTTTAAAGGTTGGTGTATTTTAAATTGTTTGTTTCAGCAATTTCACGAAAGCAACACAAAAGGCAAAATACTAAATTTGAACTGGCTGAATAGAAGGGTTTAACTGTCATTCTTTATAGCGTACCAATGTTCCCAAATGACCGTGAACCACGAATCTTCGAATTCACAGTACGAACACTCTAGCTAGTAGGCTACGCCCGGCCCTAATATTTGAAGTATTGATGCAATATCACATGCACATTACTCCTGAAAAAGTCGTAAGGCGATGTATTACAAAATCATGTAACATAGGCTACGCCCGGCCCTAATATTTGAAGTATTGATGCAATATCACATGCACATTACTCCTGGAAAAGTCGTAAGGCGATATATTACAAAATAATGTAAGAAACTTTGTATTATCGGAATAGGGATCATATGCGTATGTTTACCGCAGAACTGGCTTGTTTTAGTGCAAAGGTACACAACCGGCTACCTGCGTTCTGTCTACAGTGGAGAACCAAACCCCGTGTTTTAGTGTTGTAACTTCATAAACTTACCGCTTACTCAAGGAACTAGTCTTCATTTACCAATGAAATTCGTTGATCACATGAAAAAGAAAACGTTTTCTGGAATTCATCTTGATGTCAATATTAGCGATCTATACCTTATATATGTTTAATTTTACGATTTTGTTTGTAGTTAAGCACGAGGCTACACAATTAACTATCTGTGCTCTGCCCACCACGGGTATTGAAACCCGGTGTCTAGCTTTGTAAGTCCGCAAACATGTCGCTGTGCCACTGGGAGGCTTAACGTTACGACCTATTTTTGTTATTATTACAGATAAATGTAAATATTATTATACTGTGATGTACAAAGAATTACTAAATATCATGCACAATAAAAACATGCTAACAATAATTAAAATAAACAATATTCTTGCACCTATATAAACTCATATTAAAATGGTATAGATATCTATTTATAATATATTTGAGGACTCAGTTTTAACTTTATGGTGTATAACGTTCAGGTTCGTGTAGCTTATTCTGGTAATTGATAACACGGATTATATTACATCACAATTAGATTTATAACATGTTTAATCACATCCCTCTATTTAATGGAAAGCCGCAAACAGATATTTATAACAAAGATGTGGTTATAATTATTACCTGTCTTTTTTTCTGATATAAAATCATTTCTAAGTCTTCATTAATCTATCAAAAGGTTAAAGAAATATTATTCTCTATTATGTTTAAAAACTTCTTACTTTTCTTCCACACGACTGAACGGGTTGTGTCATCCGGATCTCACTGGTGCCTTCCAACATGGGAATTTTGGCGTTATTCTCAAGGGATCTCTGTTCCGCCATATCAGCCAATCGTCTAAAGATTGGTAGCTTTCCTCAGTTTCTATATCAAAATCTGCGTATTTTAAAATTTGACTCATAATCTATTTCTAAACATGTGATCGTATTACAAAAACAAGTTTCTACAATATTTTTAAAGATGTATTGTACTAAAACAAATTTTATAGATGTCATAATAAAAAGTTTATTCTAAGCCGCAATTTGTTAAAGGACAAGCATTATATCAGAGAACATTCCTCTTTTGTTTGTTTGCAGTTAAACACAAAGCTACACAATGTGCTAGCTGTGTTGTCCCCACCATGGGTATCAAAACCCGGTATTTGTTAAACAAGATATATCAGAGAACATTCCTCTTTTGTTTGTTTGCAGTTAAACACAAAGCTACACAATGTGCTAGCTGTGTTGTCCCCACCATGGGTATCAAAACCCGGTATTTGTTAAACAAGATATATCAGAGAACATTCCTCTTTTGTTTGTATGCAGTTAAACACAAAGCTACACAATGTGCTAGCTGTGTTGTCCCCACCA